GTGGTGTGGCTTGGTGGGCATGGCTTGGTGGGTGTGGTAGGGGAAGGATACTGCAAAATCCCCATTCCCTCCCCACTCCTGGGGGAAGTTTACTACAAAATCCCTCCCCACCCCACTAACCTGCTTTCCAGCTCCGTTCTCCTGTGCAGAGCAACCAAAGAAGACCCAGCCAATCAGCTGGGACTCAATGGGCGGCGGAGAAGAGATGGGGTTGGCGCACCGCCAGTCAGCGGTGGTATTGGCCGGTTCTCCGAACGACTCAAAATTTCCGTTACCGGTTCTCCAGAACTGGTCAAAACCGGCTGAATGCCACCTCTGAATACATCAGCATTGACAAAATTATGATCAGTCAATTGCTAAAAGGCAGGTTTACTTGAAATAGCTTACAACCTGCAACGATATCTCTAACCACATTTGCCTATCCCAGGTACTTGGGAAGATTTTAATAGGTGGACAAAATGCCGCCTATTCAGTTCAAAAGCCAACTAAACATCTGGCTGACTGTACTCAATCATTATAATGTTTTTCTGCTTGGAAATACCACATTCCACCAACACTGACACGACACACTGCTATATATACACAGGCAGCAAACCCCAACCCCAATAGCACTGATGACGGTTATTTAGTTGGGTAATGAACCGTCTGCAAGCAAACTGCCAAGTTTCAACAGCATCAAGGATTCTGCAGGATGGAAATAGCCCAGAGATACAATGCTTCCTTTGCCTGTGGAAAATCTGAAAAGGAGATTTAGGATTCCCAAGGAAAACGGATGCAATAGTTCAAGAGAAGTTCAAGCACCGGAGTTAATATCACACTGGGGCAATTAACCGAGGAAGCATTGCAAATCTTCAGTTAAAAAATACAAATCTTTTCAGAACAGGATAACAGAGTTGGAAGGAACTGTGGAGGTCTTCTAGCCCAACCCCCTGCTCAAACAGAAGACCTTCCCATTCTGTACAAATGGCGGTCCAGTCTCTTCTTTAAAACCTCCAATTTCTGAAGGCAAGCCCTTCCACTAGTTAATTGTCCTCCCTGTTAGAAAATTTCTCCTTAGTTCTGGGTTGCTTCTCTCCTTGATTAGTTTCCATCCATTGATTCTTGTCTTGCCTTCTGATGCTTTGGAAAATAGGTTGACCCTATTTAAAGTAGACCATGAACCAGAATGTTTCTTATTGGGAATTATACCCAAAAATATAAGAAGGAAGAGTTATATTTGATAATACATGTCAACACTGCAGCAAGAATGGTATTTGCCCAGAAGTGGAAAGAGAAAGAAATTCCTAGTGAAGATGAAGTCATAAATAAAATTTTGATTTGCGCTGAAATGGATAGACTAATACTAGAGATGAAAAATAAGGATGAATCGGAATATTATATAATTTGGAATAGATTTTACTGTTGGTGGGGAATTGAAAAGAGTTGTTAGGAGGACATCTGTGATCATGAGACTTAAATAATACCAAGAATGTTGGAAGATGTAAGTAAGGATGAATAAATGTATATATGGCCTCCAGTGTTGCATCTCTAAATCTGGGAGAAGAGCTGCTTCGCTTAATTCTCCTGTTTTCTTTTTTCTTTTTCCTGTCTTGTATTCTCTGGAAATGAAAACAAAAAGTGACCTTGCAAACCATTTATAGAAAATTCTATCTCTTTTCTTGGAGCAGACCCTGTACAACGAAAGACAAAACAGTTCCTATTTTCAAGGCTGATAGTGCTATTCCAAGTTGTTTCTTTCCACATCTGGGGTATATTCCACCCCCCTGTAGAATTTCATTCATTGTTTCTTTTAATGCTTGAAGAAGTTCATCCTGGAAACATTTGTAGTATAGGCTTGTGAGACTATCTGGGCCTGGCCTCATTTTTAAAATAGATTCTGATACCTCAAAAGCAGTATTTCGGTTGTTCATAAGTTGTCTCTGGACTTTTGATAGTTTAGGTAAAGGTAAAGGTTCCCCTCGCGCATCCGTGCTGGTCATTTCCGGTTCTAGGGGGCGGTGCTCCTCTCCTTTGCAAAGCCAAAGAAGAGCCAGTGCTAACCAAAGATGTCTCCGTGGTCATGTGGCCGGTAGGACACAACGCCTTTGAAGGCGCCCAGAACACTGTTCCCTTCCCACCAAAGGGGTCCCTATTTTTCTACTTGCACTTTTTTTACATGCTTTCGAACTGCTAGGTTGGCAGAAGCTGGGACAAGGAACGGGAGCTCACTCCGTGACGCAGCGCTAGGGATTTGAACCACTGAACTGCTGACCTTTTCTGATCGACAAGCTCAGCGTTCTTAGCCACTGAGCCACCACGTTCCGTTGTGATAGTTTAGGTAACTGTTGTCTTGAAAGGCATTCATTATTTTTAACATATTGATTTCCTGTCTTTTATATACACATTTGAATAAAATTTATGAAGACTTTTCAATAAGTTCATTGTCTGTTATTACATTATTGACTTCGCACAGTTTCTTCACTCATATTTGTGAGTCCAACATCCACTTTTCTCTTTTGCACCAAGTAATCATGATTGTTATTTAAAAGCCCGTGTGCATGCAATATGCATAAAGGTATATCTACATTGGTTTTCCTCTGCTTTGGGTATCTGTTTTGTAAACTGGGCAGGGTAGCCAGATGGGGACAGGGATGTGGTTAGAAAGGTGTCTTTAAGGCACAGTTAAGGAAAAACTTATTGATTCCACCAGGAAAGGCGTACTGTACTGAAGCTTTAGGCATAGTACTTTACTCATTGTTTGAACATCTAGCCTAATTAATTATATTCATGATATGCCAATGGGATGAATAAAACTTTGCACAAAACAGTATGCTTTGCTTCTAGGGGTAGTAATAAAAACTAGTACTTACTACTACTAGTAAGTACTACTAGTAGTAAGAACTAGTAGTACTTAATAGGTAGTAATAAGAAGGAACTAGACAGGAGGTAATACAGGTAGTCCTAGACTTACAGGCACAACTGAGCCCTGATTTCTATTGTTAAGTGAGACATATATTAAGTGAATTTGGCCTCATTTTAAGACTTTTCTTGCCACAGTTGTTAAGTGGAGCACTGCAGCTGTTAAGCTAGTGACATGGTTGTTAAGTGAATCCGGCTTCCCCATGGACGTTGTTTCTCAGAAGGTCGTGAAAGAGGATCGTGTGATCTTGGGACACAGCAATATGGTCATAAATGTGAATTGGTTGCCAAGCATCCGAATTTTGATTGCATGGACATGAGGATGCTTCAGAGGTCATAACTGTGAAACAAGCCAACTTTTTTTCAGCACCATTGTAATTCTGGGGGTCACTAAACAAACGGTGGGAGACTACCTGTATAGCACAGAATAGCATAATTTTGTATTTATTTCTTTATTCTATCATGTTTATGTACTGTATATTGGAGGAGGTGAGCTGTATGCAAAGAAATTTCATTTTAATGCATGCCAATTAGCATACATTCAAAGGGACAAGGGTGCCTTTTTTTTTTCAAGAGGCAGCTGGACTTTCTTTCTTTTTTCTTTTGAAGATGTTTCACTTCTCATCCGAGAAGCTTCTTCAGCTCTGTCTGGAAGGAAGGGAAGGGAAGGATTTTATATCGCAGAACGCGAATGTCCAGTTGTCTGCAAGAAATATAAATCCTTCCCTTCCCTACTCTCCAGTCAGAGCTGAAGAAGCTTCTTGGATGAGAAGTGAAACATCTTCAAAAGAAAAAAAGAAAGAAGGTCCAGTGGCCTCTTGGAAAAAAAGCAGCTTTGGGACAACCTGGAGGACTAAGAATCTCCCTGGACATTCAAAGGGAAAAATAAAGTTCTTCCTCTCCTTCTCTTCTTCTTTTCCCTTCCCCCTTCTTCTTCTTCTTCTTCTTCCTCTTTCCTCCTCCTCATGCCAGAAACCTTTCTTCTCCTTCTTTTTCTCCTTGCTCCTCCTCTTCTTCTTCTTCCTCCTCCTCTTCCTCCCCATGCCAACCTTTCTTCTTCTTCTTCTTCTTCTTCTTCTTCTTCTTCTTCTTCTTCTTCTTCTTCTTCTTCTTCTTCTTCTTCTTCTTCCTTTCTTCTCTTCTCCTCCCCGTTCTTCTTCCTCCTCTTCTTCCTCCTCCTTCCTCCTCCTCTTCCTCCCCATGCCAACTCCTCCTCCTCCTCCTCCTCTTCTTCTTCTTCTTCCTCTTTCCTCCTCCTCATGCCAGAAACCTTTCTTCTTCTTTTTCTCCTTGCTCCTCCTCTTCTTCTTCTTCCTCCTCCTCTTCCTCCCCATGCCAACTCTTCTTCTTCTTCTTCTTCTTCTTTCTTTCTTCTCTTTCCCTCCCCCTTCTTCTTCCTCCTCTTCTTCCTCCTCCTCCTCCTCCTCCTCCTCCTCCTCTTCTTCTTCTTCTTCTTCTTCTTCCTCCTCCTCCTCCTCCTCCTCCTGCACGGACCCCGATTCCCGGCTAAGCCTCGCTGCAAATAAAGCATTGCGTCTCCACCACTTTTTGCAAGGCTGAGATTTGAACGGGGAAAGGAAGGGGGCTGCTCATCCACATTTACCCAGCCCCTTCAAGACTAGCTGCAACGGGCCATTCCAGCCCACTCCTCCTCCTCTTCCTCCTCCTCTCCAAGTCCTCAGCTGCCCTCTCTCTCTCCCGCCCCCCCTCCCCCACCGCCGCCATGCGGACAATAGCGGGGTGGCGGCCCCTTTAAATCGCAGCTCCCTCCTAACCCCCCCCCTCCCTCCCCTCCGTCTTGTTTATACCGCGGTGCCACCGAACTTGAGCCCGTCTCCCCCCCTCTCCCTCCACCCCCCCACCCCCGTCCTCCCGCCGCGCCGGCCACACCCCCCGTCTGCTCCCATTGGCTGAGCTGCGGCGGGCGGGCGCGGCCATTGGCCCGTCCGCCGCAGGCAAGTTCGGCGGCGCTCGGAGGGGAGTCAGCTGACCTTGCCCGCTCCGGCCACTCCCCCTCGGAGTTGCTCCGGAGGAGGCTGCGCTCGCCGCCGCTGCTGCTGCTCGTTTTGTGTGTCCGTGTCCGGTCGGGGTTCCCGCGGCGCCTCCGGGGATGGCGGGCGAAGGCGGCGGCGTTGGCGGCGCCTGGTTGGTGCTCTTCTGCGGCTGGGCGGCCGCGGCGGGCGCCCTTCGAGACGGCGCGCCGCCCGATCCTGAGCCCGGCGGGGATCCCTGCCCGCCCGCCTGCCCGCGAGTGCTGGGCTTCCGCCTGGAGGACGGCGCCGCGGCCACGGGGGGCCTGGTAAGGGCCCTGCCTGGGGCCACCTTCCGACTGCGCCTCTACGGCACCGGGCTGCACAACCGCAGCTGGCCCTGGGCCGCCTTCGTGCCGGAGGAGGCGCCCTGCGGGGGGAACCCCGGGGAAGAGCCTTCCTCTTCCTCCTCCTCGGGGGCCCCTCAGGTGCTGGCCCACCAGGTCCTGCCCGCCAGCGAGCATGCAGGGCTGGTGACGGTGCGAGTGGCCCCCGGGGGCCCCGGAGGACGGTACCGCCTCTGCAGCCCGTCGGGGCCCGGCCGCCCCTGGGCCCCGGCTGCCCCGGGCGATGCCATCCTGGTGACGGAGGACGAAGGCGGAGGGGCCCGGGTGGCGGCCGAGGCGTGGCCCCCACCCATGCCCCCCTGGCTGCTGGGCACCCTAGTGGCCCTCCTGCTAGCCCTGCTGGCCCTCCTGCGCACCTTGCAGCTCAGCACCCTGTGGCTGGATCCGGCCGAGCTCTACGTGCTGCGGGACTGTGGCTCAGAGGCAGAGCGGGGCGCCTCTAAGGCGCTGGAGCCCGTCCGGCACCGGGGCCCCTTCGTCCTGTGCGCGCTGCTGCTGGTGAGCGCCGTGGCGCAGGCCGCCCTGGCTGTGCTCTTCTACCGGGCCGTGGGGGCGCTGGTCCCGGCCATCCTCGGTGTGGCCGCCTTGTCCTTCCTGCTGGCCGAGGTGCTGCCCTTCGCCGCCAGTTCCCGCTGGGGTCTGTGGCTGGCCCCGCGGGGCCTGTGGCTGACCCAGTTCTTCATGCTGCTGACGTTCCCCGTGGCGCTGCCGCTGAGTCGGGTGCTGGAGCTGGCCCTGCGGCATGACAACAGCACCTACCTCTTGCGGGAGAAGATCCTGGACATGGTGCGCAACAGCGACCCTTACAACGAGTTTGTGCGGGAGGAGTTCAGCAAGGGGGCCCTGCGGAACAAGACGGTGGAGGACGTCCTGACCCCGTTGGACGAGTGCTTCATGCTGAACGCCGACGCCGTGCTGGACTTCAACAACATGTCCACCATCATGCAGAGCGGCTACACCCGCATCCCAGTGTATGAGGATGAGCGGACCAACTTGGTGGACATGCTCTACGTCAAGGACCTGGCCTTGGTGGACCCTGACGACTGCACTCCCCTGAGCACCATCATCAAGTTCTACAATCACCCGCTTCACTTTGTCTTCAACGACACCAAGCTGGATGCCGTGTTGGAGGAGTTCAAGAGAGGTAAATAGGCGTCTTTTATATTGTCACAGCAGACGCTGGGCCTGTAATAAGTAGGTTGTTGCTTGTCCTGTGTTTTTTGTTTTTTAAACAACAACAACATTGAGAATGATACCAGTGTCTGAATCCTGGTGAGCATCTGGCTATATAAGAGACGGTTGGTTTTCAAACTATTCTGAAAGTTTCTTTAGAAGCTTTTCCAGCAAGATGATCAGGGAGGATGAACAGACATCCCCAGAAAACATCTGTAGTGGATGGTAGAGGTAGGATAGCATAGCATAGCATAGCATAGCATAGCAGGAACCATAGAACAGGATAGGGAATAGGATTGAGAATAGAATAGAATAGAATAGAATAGAATAGAATAGAATATTGGAATGAATAGAATAGAACAGAATAGAATAGAATTCTTTATTGGCCAAGTGTGGTTGGACACACAAGGAATTTGTCTTGGTGCAAATGCTCTCAGTGTACCTAAAAGAAAAGATACATTTGTCAAGAGTCAAGAATCATACGGTGCAACACTTAATGATAGTCATAGGGTACAAATAAGCAATCAAATCATATTAAACAGTCAACATAAATAGCAAGGATGGTTGTCACAAAGGTGCTTTTTCAAGAAGCAACTGGACTTTCTGGCTTTTCTTTTGAAGACCTTTCGCTTCTCCTCCAAGAAGCTTCTTCAGCTCTGACTGAACATCCCACCATCCAGTCAGAGCTGAAGAAGCTTCTTGGAAGAGAAGCGAAAGGTCTTCAAAAGAAAAGCCAGAAACTCCAGTTGCCTCTTGAAAAAAAAAATCACTTTTGGGGTCCCCGGAAGACAGTTTTCATAAATAGTTTACTTATTGCCACTGATTTTTTTCCCCCTCCACTCACAGAATGTGGTTGAACTTTGCCTGTTTGAAATCCTTTTGGTAAGATCCTGCAAAGTTCGTTCACGCCTGCGTTTGTTGCGTACGTGTCTCGTTCTCACAGCTCAAAATTGCCTGCATGGTATTTTCTTTGCGCGGCCAATCGTTTCATTCTCAGAACAGCCCTGTTGAGGTTGTGCTCACAGTTCAGGTCTGACCCAGAGTTACCCAGTGAACTTCAGTAGAGAGCGGGGATTTGAATGGACATCTCTCTAGTCCCAGTTCAGCGTTCAACCGCTCACATTTTCTGTTTTGAGCACATTCTCTTGAGGGTTTTTTTTTTAAACAGCGGTCTGCGATTCCATATTGAAAACAACTAATCAAGGCATTTTTTTTCCTGAAGTAGTGAAAGTTATCGTTGCCTTGTCCTCTTAAAAAGAAAAGAATCATTTGAATTTCCTAGAACAAACCAAAAGTGTGCAAAAGATGATCCAGGATTTTGACGTCTCTAGAACTGTTAATGGCGGGGGGGGGGAGAAATTTTGATAATAATTTTGAAATTGTCTTCCTTCTTCCCTGTTCCCCCACTTGTTTGTAGCATCCTGTCTCGTGAACTAGACTCTTACCCTGTTTTAAAGTGGTCCAGGGATGGTATTACCTGGGGTGTTTTTGAAGTTAGAAAATTTGCAAGGATGTATTGTTGTTTATTTCATTTAAAGGGATTTAGCTTGATGGAATCAGTTTTGCGCTACTTTGAAAGACATTTCCAAAGTTGTCTTGTATAGCAATAGCACTTAGACTTATATACTGCTTTACAGTGCTTTTCAGCCCCTCTAAGCGGTTTACAGAGTCAGCCACCGAGGGAGGAAGGAAGAAAAATGGCAATAGCACTTAGACTTATATACCACTTTACAGTGCTTTTCAGCCCCCTCTAAGCTGTTTATAGAGTCAGCCTCTTGCACCCAACGATCTGGGTCCTCATTTGACCCACGTCGGAAGGACGGGAGGCTGAGTCAACCTGAGTCAACCTGAGTCAAAGCAAACTTGCTTTGGACACCCAAAGAGAACGAACATCTCTTTAACTCCTGCGGTCGGGCAAAAACCACCTCAATGATTCAGTGCCTCTTTAGATCCAGGTGCAATTCTTACCAGCCGGTAAAAATTGAGTCGACAGATCCGTCTCTGCAGCCGATGAGATAGCCTAGTAGGAAGTGTATGAAGAAATAATTCCATGGACTTAAAAAGGCAGCTTCTCTAATGCCAGTACATTGTGATCTTGGTGCTTTAATGATTTATCAGTTGTTACAAGAGCCGGAGTAAAATGATAAATTTTATTGGGCCGGCTAATTACCCGTGAACATTGCTGGCTGTTGAACTCTCTAACCTCTTGGTGCGCTCTTGAACTATGCAAACCTTCCAGCAGAAACGCATCATAAAAAGGCCCACGGGGACTAACGCAATTCAAGCTATAAAAGCCAGTTTTCCTTCCAGATCGGACTTCTCATGTCGAAACTAAAGAGAAACACATCCTGAAGGGACACCAGGATGGGAGGTTGCTCCAAATCTCATTCCTCGATAGGCATTTCCCTACATAAGTTGGCACACTGTGATCTTTCAAGAGGGGAGCAGTTGATTGTTTCACATACATATCCCTTTATATTACGGACCTTTGTATCTTCCTGAGATATATGTGCGTAAGATGTGATCACCGTGGCCGTATCTTGCCTGCTGTTTTCTTGCATGTGAGAAAGCAGTGCTCGGGGGCTTAAAATGATCCTGGGGCCGTAAGATACGGCATGAGGAGAAAGAAAGAAAGCTAGCAAGCCAGCTTTTTCAACCACAAGGACTGCTTATGAATTAGTCTCCGTCTGGCTTGGGACACGGTGAGTTGAGTCCTGCAAAAAATAAACACCACTGGACTGGCCCAGTTCTGCAGGCTGGCACTCATTGGATGGAATACATGTTTTTTTCCCCCCCATATCCATCATTATAATTGCTCATAGAAAATGATTGCTCGGTCAGAATAGAGTTGGAAGGAGCCTTGTAAGTCATCTAATCCAGGGTCGCCAACCTTTTGGACCTCAGGGTCGACCAAACTCACAATTTTAAATCCTGCGGAACAGAGACCCTGGGAAAATCCCCCCCTCCAAAGTCTGCAGGAAAATCCCCCACCCCCATGTTGTCCTACCGACTGATTGTTCTTTATTTGGGATCGCAGGATACCGTCTCCAGCTCCGTTCTCAGGGGGAGAGAGAAAGAGAGACTGTTGGCTTCATGCAAGGAAAGCAGCAGAAGTCTTTCTCTCCCCCAAACTCCGCCAGAATGGCGCAGCTTCTTGGAGCAGGAGGCCTTGCAGGGCCCCAAAGACTCATTTCTGGCGGAGTTTGGGGGAGAGAAAGAAAGACTTCCGCTGCTTTCCTTGTGCGCAGCCAAAAGGAGAAGAAGAAAGAAGCGGAAAGACGCAGCCCGGTGGCCAGGGCAGGCGTGTGGGGCAAGTTCCCCTCACTGTCCTTTCTCCCCTCACTACCTCGTGTTGTTCACAATGCAAGCGGCGCAAGCCGTGTGTTCCCATGGGTCATGTGGGTGGAACAGTCTTGTGTTCCCGCGCAGCCTGGATTCATTGCTTTGGGGGTGACGTTTCTCTGCGGGCCACCAAAATTTTCTCGCGGACCACCAGTGGTCCCCGGCACCACTGGTTGGTCACACTGGGTTCTGGCACATGCATGCGTGTTGGCCAGCTGGTCTTCGCATGTGTGGGAGTGCCGGAAACTAGAAGAGCAGTTCCCTGGTGTGCACCGGGACGCTGAGCTTCTGGTTTCCTGGGTGCGCATGCGCCCTGGCCAGCGGGTCTTCGCGTGTGCCTGCCTGCCAGAAACCGGAAGCTCAGCTTCCTGGTGCGTGAATGCATGCTAAGGAGCTGCTCTTCCACTTTCCGGCCCTTTCCCTGCGTTCTCCCATTCCGGCACTCGATGCTGAAAAGGTTGGCCAACATTGCCCTATACAATTTAGGACAAGTGGCTGCCCCGGTCTCTTCTTAAAAACCTCGAGGGGTTTGTTTGTCCTGTGTTAAACAATATGTGGTCATTAAGTGAATTCCGCTTCGCCCACTGCTTGTCGGAGGTGGCTGGGAAGGTTACCAACCAACGGCGGTTATCATGAAATAAATGTCGGTGGCCGATTTTTGATCACGTTACTGTAGGGTTTGGGTGCCATGGTCCTAAGTGCAGAAACTGATCATAAGCCGCTTTTTTCAGCGCCGTTGTAACTTCAGATTGTTACTGAATGAATGGTTGTAACTCCAGGACCCTTTGCCCTGGTTCCATTAGGCAATGTAACATTCAGAAATTATTTCAGTATTTCTCGGTGACTCAGTGATATTATCTGCATACAAAAGTACATTCGTGTTCAAAGCCAACTTGTTATACACCACAAACATTCCATCAATATATAAACAACCAAGGGAATATCACACATCTTCGTTGTGCTCCTTGTTCGGTGTTGAATTGTCAGGCATTCTGTTTATTCTGCTACATGCTTCACTTCCAACGTGTACTACTCTTACCCCATTTAGCAATGAACTTTTGAGGGTTTTTTTGTTATATATAACCCTTTAAAATTCTGTGCAATTCTGTGTACAGTTGGGTTCAAATCATATTAAATCCGATTAAAAAGAAGAGCTATTAAAATGCAGCAAAGCAGCAACTCTTTCTATTGTAGTCTCAATCAATATTAATCAGAATACAGCTGGAAGGGGTCTTGGAGGTCTTCTAGTCCAGCCCCTGCTCAAGCAGGAGAACCTATTCCATTTCAGACAAGGGACTGTCTAGTCTCTTCTTAAAAACCTCTAGTGATGGATCACCCATGATTTCTGGTGGCAAGTTGTTCCACTGGTTAATTGTCCTCACTGTTAGGAAGTTTCTCCTTAATTCTAGGTTGCTTCTCTCCTTGATCAGTTTCCAACCATGGTTTCTTGTCCTTTAATTCAGGGATCCCCAACCTCCAGGCTCTGGCCCGTTATTGGGCCATGAGCTATTTGGAACTGGGCCACAGAAGCGGCACTGGAGCAAGCAGCGGGCGAGCATGTGGATGCATGCTCCATTTGTGCAAGCGATGTGCGCTTTGCCCATTGCACGTGCAAATGGGGCCGTGCAC